TGTTCTTTTGCAGACTCGTGTGACTTTTGTGTTTGTCGCTGTCGGCGGTATTCGTCTATGGAAGTGTCTACCCACCAACCTAGTAGACTTTGCTGTGGGATGTGGACCATGAGCTGGTCCAGCAGCACTATCAGCTCCAGCAGACCGTACATTCTCCAGGAGAGCGTCACCGCAGGTATTTAGAAACTGAGATAATTTCGGTCTCCTGCGGCCTGCGTTCTTGATTTATTATAAATTATGTACGCGTTCACCATTGCTCTAGCCACTAAATGGAAAAACATCTTCTTCCACCATTTCATGGACTTCCTGTGCAGGGAATAATATGACACGTGCTGGTCATTTAGGTCAACCCCGATTTTGTGGACATTGTAATCCAAAACACAGTCAGGCCTGATTCTTTTTGTGGGTCCTCCTTTAGCATTTACTGTGACCTCCGTCCAGGAGGCGGCGTGCTTCGTTGTAAGGAAGTGGACATCCCGCTTGTCTTTCCACGTACAGGCTGTTAAGTTTCCGCGGTGACAGAAAGCCATCTCGTGCGTCTCTAAAGGCTGCTGACGCCATTGCTGCGGCAAGCCACGTCGATTTGACATCACAGTGCCAACGATGCGTGTGTTTCTAACGAACGTTCTTCACTTTCGTTTTCCGTCGTGCGGCCCGTTACACTGGACTTACTTACTTACCTACTTAAAAGAATATTCTCTAGAATTCAAACAGAAGCAAAAAAATGACTTCTTCATTTGCCTTCTAAAAAAGGGAAATCGTGTAATAAAATAGGGAATTTAAATGTAGATGATTTCGAAAGAATATGAAGAATTTTATTTGACAAAAAAATTGTTCCCACTTGTCCTAAGCTTGTGGCGACTATCCGGGAAAAAATAGATTTTCCCTAGGAGACTACAAGTTTACAAAAACTACTCAAGGAAGTGGGTTATAAATGGCAAAAATTTCACAACAAGCGAAGGATTTTGGTAGAAAGGCGGGTAAAATTATTTGCAAAAAATTCGTCAATATGGAGAAAATGTTCGCAATATTTTCTTTTTAGACGTGGGTTGACAATAACTTCACATTTAAAGTGTTGGAGAAACGATTATGTAGACGCGATACTGACTGACACCAGCTCCATGAATCCAGACGCTGCCGGATCCAGACGTGCTTTTCTGGATGGCGCAAAGTTGCTTTTCAAAACTACTGCTACAGACGATTACCACTGGTAAATGAACAGTACGAACTTTGAGGAATGGGTGACTGACATCTTCATTCCCAATTTGACACACCATCTGGATGCTTGGCGGTCCACCACTGTACGTTTCACAAGAAGTTTTCTTCTGCATACGACCTCTCTGTGGAATAGTTTACCACCAGCGATTTTTCCGGACCGTTACGACCTGGGGACCTTCAAGAAAAGAGCTTACTCCTTTCTAAAAGGCCGGCAACGCACCTGCAATTCCCCTGGTGTTGCGGTTGATCATGAGCGACGGTAGTCACTTAACATCACGTGAGCCGCATGCTGGTTTGCCTCCTATTCTATAAAAAAAAGAATCCAGCGTTGTCGCAATGGACAACGCACCATATCATAGTGTCCAGGAAAATGAATTTCCTACAAAATCAAGTATTAAAACGGTTATGTTAGACTGGCTTGACTGGCTTAGACTGGATTGGCTAGAAACAATGTAGTAGATGCTTCACTAAGCATGAGAAAAGGCGAGCTTTTTGATTTGATGAAACTGCATACGCCTCAAAAGAAAACTTTTAAAATGGACTAGCTCATCCGTAGTCACGGACATGAGGTTTTAAGATTGCCACCATTCATGCCACGACCCAATTGAGTTAGCATGAGTAAAATTCAAGAGAGTTGTGAGGAAGTACCACGTTAACTCAGGTTTATCCCTAACAAAATTGAAAGAAGTCACGGAGATGGCTATAAGTCAGATAACAGAAAAACATTGGTTTGGATTCGATGATAACGTTATAATTTTTAAATACTTGGAATAGTGCGTTAGATTCTGGATTCATAATATTAGTTTAAAAAGGCAGTTGTATGGAGAATATCATATTTTATTTAAAGATTTATTAGATGACGATGAATGATTTTTCTGATATTTCCATTTATCATAAAAGAAATTTCAAGAATTGCTACATATATATTAAAAACATATCTCTATAGGGAAAACTCAAGATTTAGAAGGCCAATTAAACCAGAGGTATGACTCGTTGTATGTTTGAGGTAAGTATTTTTTATTGATAATTAGGTAACGAGGTTATAATTGGATTTTTGAATTAAGTATCAATTTTGTGCTGTATTTAAATTATTTTTTCGCTGTGTATTCAAATTGGTATTTTTTTTTCAAATTATGTATAATTGATTGTGTTAATTTAAAGTTATAAAAGGTCTTGCGTGACGATTCATTATTACCTACACAGTAAAGGTAAATGCTCCCGAAATGAATTAAAAATATATTTCGAAACGAAAGTTAAAACCACCAGTTTTAGTGGAAAATCCACTAAGTTGGCAACACGAGACAACACTAAGTATCAGCACGCGCCGCATTATATGACGTCAAAAGGGCGGCGCGTAGGGCGACTGTAATATGCGAGATTTCATATGTTTCATAAAACGAATTCTAAAATGTGGCGCGTACGGCGCGTACGGTGCTGACAAATGTACGTTCAGCTTTAGTTTTAATTTCAATTTATTCATGATAAAAAAATTGATATAACTTAATGTCAATAATATATTATGTTATATCTAATAATAATAATAATAGTATTTATTAACAAATAGTGAAGTGTAAAGTGAAATAACTAAAGTTTCAATTATTATAAATTAAGAAATTAGAGAAACATTGAAATTTTTGATAAACCGTGTAGTGGCGCGGTGTAAGAATATCCATACACTATCATCCCATGGGTTTCATAACAGACGACAGAGGGAAATTGAAACAGGTGATAGGCAGCTGCATCTTCCTGACAACTCAAAATAATGAAAACTGCGGTTGAATGCCCGCTCGCCGTTTAGAGGGGTTAGCTTGCTTATGTATGCTTTAAGGCGACACCGCGAAAAAATGCACCTCTTTTCATCGAATAGTATAGGACTATGACAGCACTAATGAAAGTGGAATTTTGATACAGGTAAATTCATGTCTTTATCTTGAATTTGCTTGTTCAAAAACACGATTGTATAATTTTGACTCGATCATAATTATTTGCGAAAATAGCTCTAAAAATCACTATAGTTGAAGTCACAACGAAATTACTTAATCTATGTCCTTGGAAACCACTCAAATATATTTATAAATCAATATTCATTATTTACTTGCTCATTATTTTGATTACTTAAATCAATAATTTAAAAAAAAAATATTTTAATATTCTTACAATTTCTAATCCTTTTCACTCGTCGCGGGCGCTACGCAATTTTAGACCATAAGACGGCATTTTTTAAGCCTTTATAGAAATTATGCATTCACTTGGATCAGTAGGGCGATAGCCCGGAGCCACTTTTCGATGTGTCATCTTAACTCGTAGTTGCTATTTGGTGGCGGCGTAATAGAATTCGTTCCTATATTTCCTTAAGCCGTGGACGTCATAAGAAAGGAAACAAATCAATAGAAATAAGAGTATCCATGACTTTTTCTTAGTTGTGGACTATTAAGGAGGAACCAGGTGAAATATATGACAGATTTCATAGAGAGTAACTTAATATGTTAAAGAAGCGTAGACAGTAATGTTTCTAACTAATAGAATCAGGCGTTAGATTGAGGAAATCCATATATTAAAGTTGCTAAGAATTAATTCGCATACATCCGCTCACTAAAATAAAATGATGTATCTTACCTAGTTTGAACTACACCTCCCGCCTTCCCTCAATTGCGTGCACTAATCCCAGCACCACCAGCGGTGTAGACTTAATTTTATATAATAGATTTCCGCAAAGTTAAAAAAGGATATGTGCGAATAAATTCTTAACAACTTTAAGAAATGTTTACCTAGTCAGACTATTTGTACAAATAGGCCGACTAGGTAAGCCCAACTTCGACCGAGAAATCAATCGACGGATTCAACTCGGCTGGGCAGCGTTCGGGAAATTATGACACATCTTCTCGTCAGGTATACCTCAAAACCTGAAAACTAGATTGCACAACTAGTGCGTGTCACCAGTGATGACCTACGGATCTGAGACCTTCATCTTGAGGTCCTTCAGTGCTGGCCGTAAGAGGACACCCAAGGTCGCTCAGCGAGCTATGGAGAGAGCCATGCTCGGCGTTTCTCAGCGTGATAAACTTAGAAATGAGGATATCCGCAGTAGAACCACAGTGAACGACATAGCCCAACGGATTAGTAAGCTGAAGTGGCAATGGGCCGCCCATATAGCTCGAAGAACCGACAACCGTTTGGTAAAAAAGTTTTTCGAGCAGCAGTCTCGTACCGGTAGGCGAAGTGTAGGGCGACCTCCTACTAGATGGAGTGACGACCTGGTAAGACATGCAGGAAGTCGATGGATGCAGGTAGCTTAGGACCATTCTTTGAGGCATTCCTTGGGGGAGGCCTAAGTTCAGCAGTGAACTTGTGAAGGGCTGTAATGATGACGCTAAATGATAAGTTACCATGGGCCAAAGTCAAGAGAGTTGTGAGGGAGTACAACGTTAACTCAGATTTAACCCTTACAAGATTGATAGAAATAACGGAGATGGCTATAAATCAGGTGACAGAAATAAAGTTCTTTTCTTTGTGGAATATCCGTAGTTCGGTTTATCAACCATATTATAAAAAAATAAAAATGTGTAAAAAATTAAAGTATACCGCACTGAGTATTACATAACATACAAGATACATTGTTTTATGTATATATCGTACATACACTACAAACCGAAAAACTAATTATAAAATAGTAACTTTTCAATGATGATAACACTGGGTGGCCATTTGCGTAACAAATAAATCCATCACCCAGATAGCGACATCTGGTGAACGTAATTTTATTAGCCTTCATTGATACGTACGGATTTTTATTTTGTATCTGCCGTGCCCTTCGATTGGCATTATCAACAGATATCCGCCAAGCGTGTAGTCGCCGATGAGAGTCACGGAGCACTTCAGATCCAGTCGAGTCCTTTGCGTGTACCGTCTGTTGATGAACATTATTATTAGCGCATAGTATAATAAAATAAAAAAATTATCAAACTTCAAAAAAATTTTATACCGACTTTTAAAAACTAAAAGCTTAAAGGTTAAAACAGTAATTAAAAAAACGACTAAAATTTTTCTTTTTTCCAGTAACTTAGTAAACTTAACTAGTTTACTGAAAGGAGAAAGATTTTATACCCTATGTCACTTTCACAACTCAGACTAATATAACGACATCCCATGTATTAAATTCCATCAAGCCATTTAGGCTGTAGAGTGTGCTAACGGAACTACGAGTATTTACTCGTACGTACTCTCGGGTAAAAATAATATTTTTTCTATATAATTTAATCGATCTGAAGTCGAGAGAAAGTGCATCGAAGAATTAAAAACACGAGTTCAGATATAAGTAAGTTATGTAGAAAATATTTTTAATGAATTTAATGGGTCAATGTGTGAAAGCATATGAATGTCTAAGCCCGAGACTGCTATGGATACGAATGAAAGTAGGCTTAAAGAAGTTGTTTGTTCTAGGGGTCTATGCCCAAGATATGCCCAACTATATCCGAGAGCAGTTTTGGGCGATGGTAAGGGTGGTGGTGGTGGTGAATGAAATGTAAGGGAAATGAAAATATTGTTATGTTGAGATTTTAATGGAAGGATTGGCGTGAAGAAGCTTAGTTATGAAATGAATCAGAATGGTGAAAGCCTCCTCACCGTATGTGTGAAAAATACTATTTTTGTGACGAACACTTTCTTTCGTCATAAGAAGATTCACATGTATACGTGGGAAAGAGGTGATGACAGAAGCATGACAGATTTCCTAATTATGGACGAAAGAATGAGGAGCGCAGTGGTAGATACAAAGGTTTACCGGGAGTCCAACGTAGGGACGGATAATTACTTGATCTTATGCCGAATTAATGGTCTATTTAGACGTTGGCGGCATCGGACATCAGTGTCTACCACTGCGTTACAGCGTATAAGAACAGAAAGATTACAAGATAAAGGTGTGAAAGACATCTCCTCACTTAAAAAGTTAAAAACACGGTTTCAAAATATTCATTCCATCTCTTTAGATTCAAAATTTCATTCATTTGCAGAAAATCTGAACACCGCGAGTTAAGAAACAAATCGTGCCATCTAGTGGATAATACTTGAACCACGTACGTACAACTGGTTTTTATAACTATATAGCCTAACCGTATTTTATATAGGTACTCATAGATAGCGCTTTTCTTTATACTGAACAATAAAAAGACTCATATTATTTTTCTAGAGTTAGAAGTCTCACTAAGTAAAAATGATCATCATAAATTGCGCTGATTTATAACTTAAATTTTTTCCATTTAGGCAATTTATGTACTATCACAAAACATTAGTAGCCAAATTTTAAACTTAAGTTCAAATACTGTATAACATGTGAACAGAGTAGAAGCCTATGACACTGATTTTTTACAAAAAATGAATACAAATTTTTTAAATTAAATACGTACATTAATTAAAATCTATAGAAAGTCAAATTATATATGTTAACCTACGAGTATCTTATACACAACAACATAACTTACTTCTGTTACTGTAATCCAGGACCAGGACTATACTATTAATAATTATTAAAATGCGGAATTACAATTACTATTCCGGGACTATTCGGTATCCGGTGACGTATCCGGTGGCGGATTCACAAATTTGCCGCCACTAGGCTATTAAAGTTTTGCCGTGTCTAACGATTTCTATAATTCGACTATTTCTTGTGCAATCTTAACTACATCTTTCGGTTGTAAAAATAATCCAGGAACTGACACATCGATCCCCTAGTTCACAATCATACCAATTACGGCAAAAGGTGGTGTAATTAGAACGATAGTGCATAAATTATAAACTTACAATTTCATTGACAAAAAAAATTGCAATAAATACTGTAGTAAAACTTGGGGATCGAAGCGTCATTTCCCAGATTATTTTTGTAACCCAAATATTTAGTTAAGATTGCACAAGAAATAGTCGAATAGTAGAAGTCGGTAGGCGCGGCAAAATTTTAATTGCTTACTGGTACGTAGTACTATTATTTATTCTGTGCTACTGGCGGCAAATTTGTGAATCCGCCACTGGAGGATGGTTTTTGTATTAATGAAACAGACCCGTTTCATCAATATTTACTGGGAACCCAACAACTTTTTTGCAAGGTAGAGGTAAGAATCATCTAAGGTAAGAAAAATCGCAATTTTTCAGACGCTACAAGTTGTAGGACTTTCCCTAAACCGTACGTTCTGGTCATATTGAACTTAGAAAATATATTTTATGATTTACAAAATATTTTATAAAATTACATGAAATCATTTAACTCAAAATCTATTTCATCGATCGCCTTGAAAAAAAAATATATATATATATATATATATTGTTACGAGCTTGAGGTTCGTGACAATAAAAATTGCCGATAAAATTACCTAAATTAACACTTTAATTTACTTTACACAATTAAAGTTAAAACACTAATAATTTAAACACATTAATTCACTTAATTCCACTCCGAAGCTTCGCTTGTTTCGCCCAAATCAACACTGCCTCGATCGCATCTTGCAGCGCCTATATATTTAAATTAGCAAAGAAATATCCAGAATGTTCAAGTAAACACGGGCAAGGTACCGAGCGTTCCAGTTTCGACTAGGCGCTGTCGGTTGAGTAATTTGTTATGTCATTTTCTCAATGCTCCCCTCGCTCTCGTTCCTGACACTAGATGGCGCTAGTGTATCGTTGACTGGAGCGCGTAACACTGCCCCCTCCTAAGACATGCTCGTCCCGAGCATTATCGGCCCCATAATAACGCGCCAAGCGATTCACATGGACGATCTTAGGAGTCCCTCTTGCGCCTTTCTGTAACGGCTCCGCAATGTCAAGGGCTGTCCTATCCCGTGATGCACCAACATTGTACAATTTCGGTGCTCCTCTACTACGTGTCCGAGGTCCCCGCTCGGCCGCACAACTTGTACATGTACGACACCAATCCTCGACATCGTCACGATAATGGACCCAGTAAAACTGTTCTCGGACCTTCAGTAGAGTTCGTTTAACTCCCCGATGGACTATTGAACGACCACTATGGCACAACTGTAGAACATTCGGCACTTTAGCTTTAGGGACAACCATTTGCAAACGACAGCTGTCTCTTCGACCATTGTCCCATTTACGGCACAGGACTCCATCCTGAATCAGCAAGCTGTCCCATTGGGCCCAATAGCTTTTCGTGGTTGAACTCATCGCTGAGACGTCCCTCCACTTAGGCTTGGTAGCACGGGCCTTCATCCATCCCAGAATCGGCTTGATGTCCGGATCTTCCTGCTGTGCATGTCGTAGGTTGTCCTTCCATTCGTTGCTGAGGTGGTCCGTCCTGAGCATCCTCACGGATACCACCTCCTTACTCTCTTGCCTACTACAATGGTTGCAATCTTCAGGACAAGGTCTTCTTGACAATGCATCCGCGTTGCCGTGAGATTTCCCGCTGCAGTGTCTGATAGTAAAGTCGTATTCCTGCTGCTGCTGGGCGGTGCTGTTAGCCGCACTTCCTTTCTGAGACCGTTCACCTTCCCTTCCTAGGGTGTGCTTAGGGCAGCTGGACCGAAGATGGCCCCTTTCCCCACAGCCATAGCACCTAGGGCTGTATCTTTTATTGTGGTCGCGAACCGTAACTGCAGTAACCTCCCTAGCGTGAGGTGAACGATGATCCTGTCGCCGCCAGGCAGTGCCGTTAGCTGCACTACCCTCTCGAGATCGATCAACTCTCCTTTCCACGGTTTGTTTAGAGCAGCTGGATCGAAGATGGCCCTTTTCCCCACAGCCATAGCACCTTGGGCTGTATCCTTTGTTGCGGTCGCGAACTGTAGCTGCTGCAACCTCCCTGACGCGATGGGAACGATGATCCTGCCGCACGGCTTCCACTTCCAGTGCATGGGCCAAGGCGTCCTTAAGCGTCTCGTGGTGCCCGAGCCTCACAGCAGCTCTGACTTCCAGGTCGCGGATGCCGTCGATGAATGTCTGCACCAGGTTCCCTTCAATGAGCGCAGGTACAGACCGGTATGCTTTTCGCACCAGCTTCTCCACTTCTAGAGCCCACTGCTGCAGGTTTTCGTTGATGCGCTGCACACGATCTTTAAGCTGCGCACGAAAGACGTGTTCCAGGTGAGCGTCGCCATATCTCGCCTCCAATGCCTCAAGGAGTTGCTCATAAGTCACTTCCTCACCGAGAGCTTCCAGAACTGTTAAGGCCTGGTCGCGCAGGCCTAGTGTGAGAGCAGTCATGGCCTGACTTTTATTCCAGCCGTTCGCCTGCATAACAGCCTCGAACTGGATTTTGTAGGCTGACCAGGAAGAAGTCCCGTCGAATGGTGGCACCTTGAACCCACGTAGCGAAGGTGTAATAGCTACTACGGGAGCTGTAGCTCCATCTCCAAGTTTGAGTTCGTCCAGTGATTTCTTCATGTCAGCCATTACGTTGTCAACCCGATTGTTTACTTGGTCGATTCGGGTTTCAGCTTTCTCGATTCGGTTTTCAGCTTTCGCGATTTGGGTTTCAGCTTCCGACAGGCGTTTGTCATGCTGAGCAACCCTATCCTTCACCTCCTTTATCTCCTTCCCGAAGGTAGCGTGAAGGTCCTTCATGAGGAGCATCTGTTCCTCCTGTCGGCGGGTCTGTTCCTCTTGTCCGCTCTGCAGCTGCTCTTTCAACTGACGGACCTGTTCCTCCTGTCCGCTCTGCAGCTGCTCTTTCAACTGACGGACCTGTTCCTCCTGTCGGCGAGCCTGTTCCTCCTGCTGCTCTTTCAACAGACGGGCCTGTTCCTCTCGTCCGCGCTGCAGCTGCTCCTGTAGCATCGCCATCAGAGCACCTAAGTCAGGTGCTGCAGATGTAGGAGCTAATGACGGGCCCGCAGCCTCCGTGGCTGGCAGTTGGCCCTCCGACATCTGCGCCGTTGCACCACCAAATCTCCGCTGGTCCGTCTCATGCTGGCGTTGACTGCGGGTACGGACGCCCTCCGTTTCTTCCTTAGGTAAAATCGGCATGATTTGATCCCACTTCTGACACCAATTGTTACGAGCTTGAGGTTCGTGACAATAAAAATTGCCGATAAAATTACCTAAATTAACACTTTAATTTACTTTACACAATTAAAGTTAAAACACTAATAATTTAAACACATTAATTCACTTAATTCCACTCCGAAGCTTCGCTTGTTTCGCCCAACTCAACACTGCCTCGATCGCATCTTGCAGCGCCTATATATTTAAATTAGCAAAGAAATATCCAGAATGTTCAAGTAAACACTGGCAAGGTACCGAGCGTTCCAGTTTCGACTAGGCGCTGTCGGTTGAGTAATTTGTGATGTCATTTTCTCAATGCTCCCCTCGCTCTCGTTCCTGACACTAGATGGCGCTAGTGTATCGTTGACTGGAGCGCGTAACAATATGTTCAATGGAATTTTATACTCGTATTTCTAAACTAGAATTTTTTTTCGAATTTATTTGCTTTTTTTCAGTCAAGCGCGCGGCAATTAATAAATTAAGTTGCATGCGCTAAAATTAAAATAAACGTTGCTGTACAAAAGCTATGATATTAACTGGCACGACAACGTCCGCCGCATTCAGCTAGTAGTTTTTTATAAGCAATCACTTACTTAACGTGCATCACCTCACAGTTTCTCAGGCCTTTGACTACGGTGTTTTTGAACTCCATCTCCAAGCCAGACTGGCTGGCGGAAACAAGTTCCAGCGTCATTGGGTCCAGCGACTGCATGCCGAGGCTCGTCACCCCAGCAGCTATGACCGGCAGTGCCCTCTGTGTGGATTGCTTCAGGCACTCTGTGTCCGAGGAGTAGCATGGAGTGATAAACGGAGCTGGAAATAATACAAAGAAGTTCTTTAGTGTATTTGTTATGTCGTACGTGGTAGAGCCATGCTGTATTATGGTTGTAGCACGAATGGTTTGGCTCGACCGAGGTAGGACCACGTTCTCACGGAATACCTAGCTACAGCATGACTCTACCACGTATAAAATTTTAAATTCTAGTTGAATTTAAGTTTTTAATTTTAACAGGTGCCATGCCTGGTAATAAATTAAAAACTTAAATTGTATTTATTAAGGTTTCTGATACCAATTTTATCAATCTTAAGTGTCACTCTATTTTTATATTATAATTACGGAGCCATAGACATCTTTGTCCGTTCTTGCTAGGATTTGCTAGGTGGTAGAACCCTTTCTGCCGAGAAGTCGGTATGTCTGTGTAATATGTTATAGGTGGTTAGGTACCACCCTAAAACATATTACTACTACAAAATAGCAGTGCTTGCACCGCTCTGAAGGGTAAAGAGGGGTTGTGACGCATTTCATTCTAGCCCTCAGAGGTGATACTGCATCTGTTGTTTTCTTAGTTTGACGTTGGTAGCATGTGACAATGGACTGCAGTTGCTATTTATGGTCAAGTGGATTGTTAGTTCGTTTGTGACTTCATTTTTATAAAAAAAATCCTCGATCAAGAAGCAAAATTGAGATACGTTATTACACTTGAGACCTGAGACTTCTCGTTACTGCTACATATTGGAAGAAAAGTTTTTAGCTAAACCAAATTTTAAAGCAGCTATGTATCATGCAAATGTACGAAAATATGGCGAAAAAGAGTAGTTTGTTAGAGTGGTAAAAGTAATTATTATAGTCAACCAAATATAAGAAATACCTTTTGACGTTTCACATTAATCATTCCGCAATAACTTTGAACGAGCGTACTCATACGATTTACAACGTGTTTAGTTTTTTATCGCTAATTTAAATTTGAATCTTTCAAACAAAGCAAAATATTAAAAAAATAACCAGTATCAATTTTTACTGGATGTCGTTTCAATGATATGTCGCTATGTGCCTTACCGTAGTGTTTGAATGATTAAAATTCATTGATATGCGAATAATCGGCAAAAAGATTCAAATAATCGTTAAAAATATTCAAATAATCGAATCATTAATTTTTTAATGTATTATTTGTTTAGTTAAATTTTTATTTTAAAATTCCTTAAATTACATGAATCATGACTAAAACAAGCTTGTTTTTTTACTTAGTCAACGTAAAGGACCATGGCGAACTCCCAAATAATTTTTAGTTGACTTTTTTTCTTGCGTTTATAAATGCAAAATATGTAAGAATATAGTTTAAGTTCCTAAACATTTTTTATACAGTCATACTACCGCAGGAAGTCAGGAATTGGAGATATTCCAGTTTAAACAAAATACACATCAGACTAGGCTGTATGGTATAAAACGCCTAAACTGGCAAATCGTTACAACAACAACTAGTCAATATAATTTTCATATAGGTTAAATGGTACATATTCACAATTTTCGAGCGTTTATATCAACTGCGCATGCGCGACTCTACTGTTTCCCGCGCATTCGCGGATACAGATAGTGCGCATTTTTTATTTGGAATAGCTTCTCTATTACGTAGTACATATAACTCAATGGCTGCTAATAAGAATTTTTCACAGAAAAACCCAACAACAATTTTTGGCCTTATAAAGGGTAGTTACTAGCATAGAGGGAATCCTTAAAGAACGCATTACTATATATAGAAGACTTTTCTGAATTAAATACACATCAAACTCGACTGTATGTTATAAGACCTTTGTCTGTCTTAACTGACGAATCGTAACAACTACAACTAGTAAATTAAGTTTTGAATTGTGCATGATTATTTTTTCTATAGCCCATAATCTTGATTAGATAATACATAGTAATTTATTTTATTGATATTTGTAATGGTGACTTAAGTAGACGCTTAATAATTCCATCACCTATTCTTTCGCCATTGTCCTTTGTGTAGGCAAAAAAACTCATATAGAAGGCCGCGCTGATAAACACCACTACGTAATTTCGAGCTCGATACCCATTTCGGGAGCTTACTGTGCGTAATTTTGTGATTTTGTGTTTGTCTTCTTATTTTGTGACTCTGTTTTAACATGCCCATGTCATAAACGATGATTGGGCAAAGTGGTAGAAAAAACAAAAAAAATTATAGATGACTTTGAAAGACATTCATTTTGACTGTATTATTTAAAATCAAATAATAATTAATCTAAACGACAGCTTAAGTATTTGTACTGAAAGTGATTGAATAAATTTATTTTTAATCTAGTTTCAATCTAAAAATTTTATAATTGTGGCTCTAGAAATAAGAAGTTACAACAAATACAAAGAAACTGATAAATCTTGTGTTTTAAATTATTCGCTTTTATATTATTCTGGTATTATTCAAACCAAACTAAATGATTAGAAATAGAAATAGAATAGAAATAGAAACTTTTTTTATTCAATGTAGATTATAAAAATACTTATTGAAGGTCACTTTTTTAATTTACCACTGGTTCGCAAAAAAAAACCTCTGTCCTGGGAAGAACCAGCAAGAAACCCAGCGGGACTATTTTTTTCCAATAATAGCTTACAATCATGTTTACAATCAACAACACAAGACAAATTAGAAATAGCTTGGTAGCGATCACCCTTCCCAGGGGTTATTATCATCTATAAATTCCTTAATATTATAATAACCCTTTTTATACAAACTTAGTTTAATAACATTTTTGAACTTTGTGTATGACAAATTTTGTATATTTTCTGGGATTTTGTTGTAAAAGCGTATACATCGCCCCAAGAATGAATTACTGACTCGGTGGAGTCGAGTAACTGGTACTACCAGCTTGTGTCTGTTCCTAGTATTTACAGAATGAATATCACTTATTTTCGCAAAACTACTTTTATTTTTGTGTACGTACATTACATTTTCATAAATGTATTGAGAGGCCAGAGTTAATATATTAATTTCTTTAAATTTTTGTCTCAGTGACTCTTTTGGTTTTAAATTATATATTGCTCTAATGGCCCTCTTCTGTAAAATAAATATAATTTCAGTGTCAGTCGCGTGTCTCCATAGCAAAATACCATACGACATAATGCTATGGAAATAACTGAAGTAAACTATTCTAGCTGTTTCAACACTGGTAAGAGTTCTAATCTTTTTTACAGCATATGCTGCAGAACTAAGTCTGCTAGCTAGTTTTGATATATGGGGGAGCCATTGAAGCTTTGCGTCCAGTGTGATTCCAAGAAAAATGGTGGTATCAACAAGACTCAGTTCCTCCCCATTTAAAATTACATTAGTATTGACATGTTTAACATTAGGAGTTACGAATTTCATACATTTAGTTTTAGTTCCATTCAAATGCAAATTATTAACATTAAACCAATTGAATAACTTAGCTATAGCATTATTTACTTCGTCGTAATTTAATAACTGTCTTTTTAATTTGAAAATTAATGAAGTATCATCAGCAAATAATACTATATCATGGTTATCCCCTACTATGTAAGGTAAGTCATTAATATATACAAGAAACAGAAAGGGGCCAAGAATTGAGCCCTGAGGCACGCCCATTTGTACAATCGACCCAGAAGAACTCATACTATTAATAACAACTTTTTGTGTTCTGTCACTTAAATATGAAATAATTAATTTAAGAGCATCATTTCTTACACCGTAGTGTTGAAGTTTCCTGATTAATGTTTCATGGTGAACACAATCAAAGGCCTTGGATAGGTCACAGAACAAACCCAAAGCATCCTGTGAATTCTCCCATGCATTAAATATATATTTAATCAGCTCAACACCAGCATCAGTTGTCGAGCGACCCCTTGTGAAACCAAATTGATTTTTATGAAGTAATTTATTTACATTAAAAAAAAATTAACAATTGATCAAGAATAATTTTTTCAAAAATTTTACTAAGTGTTGGCAGTACAGAAATAGGTCTAAAATTAGCGGGGTCCAATGTACTACCAGATTTAAATAAAGGTATTACTTTACTATGCTTCATTAAATCAGGAAACACACCAGATTTGATACTACTATTAAAAATAATAGATAGTTGAGGTGCGATTGTATCTATTATAGACGCAATAACTTCAACAGAAATCCCCCACAGATCGGCGGTTCTCTTAATATCAATAGTCTTAAAATATTTTACAATATCTTTTGATGAAACTTTATGAAATGTAAAATTCTTTGTACACACATTTACATTTTGTTTAAGTAATGATTTGGCGACGGTAGGAGAAGAATTCAGTGACTTAGTGGTTAAGGTCGGAATATCAATAAAATATTTCTCAAAAACCATTGCAACGTCCTGATCTGATTTAGTTAATTTATTGTTAAAACTTAACTGGTAGTTTGAATTGCGAGAGTTGACCTTACCAGTTTCACTATTAATTATACTCCATGTCATTTTAATTTTATTAGAAGCAGTCTTTATTTTGTTGCTTAAATACAATGACTTGGCTAAGGAGCACACTCTTTTAAATATTTTGGAATATTTTTTTACATATTCCATAAATTCGACACTAGGATTATATGACCTTTCATTGTAAAGTTCATATAACCTTTGTCTACTCTTATGGACTCCTACTGTCGCCCATTCATTAAATGCTTTACGATTATTCAAGGAGAGTGTTTTAGAAGTAAAAGTATTATTAAATTCATTGCAAATGAGCTTAAATAATTTTGCATACAAAAAATTTGGATTATTTTGGTATGAAAGTAATGGAAGTTTTTTTATTATGTTACTTCTAAACTTCTCCAAGCGATGTGCATTTACTGGAACAAACACTACTTTTTTATCTACTTGCTTTTTGTGAACATAAGGTAATGAAACAAATTGTCCACAGTGATCAGAGCTCAATTTTTGAATAATACATTTATTGAACGGCTTAACATTTGTAAAAATGTTATCTATACATGTTGCACTAGATTCAGCAATACGTGTTGGCTCCAAAAATAAATTAAAAAGACCATAAGATTTAAACAATGATCTAAATTTAATATTAGTGGAGGAAGCTTCTAGGAGATTGATATTAAAGTCTCCACATATTACAACAGATTTATTCTGTTTATTAAGCTTAGCGAAAACTTCCTCCATAATTTTTTCAAAAGTATCATATAATGAACATGGGGGTCTGTAAACACTCACAACAATGAGGTGCTCAAACTCAACACATGCCATTTCTACAGTTCGCTCAACAGAGAGGCTCACAATATCTTTACGTTCTTTATATGATAATAATTTACTAGCTAAAATTAAGGAGCCACCTCTTAAAATCGTTTCTCTATTGAAAGAACTGAGCACCTGGTGATTACTAAAGTTAAACATTAAATTATGAGCTTTTAACCAATGTTCAGTAATACATATAATATGAATATTGTTGCTATTTAAAAACAATTCAATTTCTAGCTCTTTGCCTATCATGCCTTGTATATTCTGATGCACCAGGTGTAAACAATTTTTAATATCATTTTGTGGAGTTATACAATTGCAACTATTAAGGATTTGTAAGCTACATTCTAAATTATTATAACTGCTAGAGATTACTTCTATTGTCTCATTTTCTAATTACCAACTCTAAATAATCGATATCGATTTTTTTAAGAATCGAATATTGTACTTTGCCATTTTTTGGTTGGCATGCTTGGTGCAATAAGTCTGACAGCTGTCAAAATGTATTTCTTAGATTTCTTTAGATTTGGTTAACTATAAGTATAAAAAGGCAAAAGTAAAGTAAAGTTACAGCCTATATACGCCCGTTTGTTCCGCACAGCCTCCTCCTCTCATTTCTGAGAGGGTTTTAGGTCAAAGGAGTGTATATATGAAATTCGTTCAAGAAATTACGCAAAACTGAACACCTTTATCTATTTAGAAGCAACGAGTTTCCGTTTTCCAATGAATTGCTATTTTTAAACTCTATAACCGTTATATTTAAGTTAGAGACGTCTCTTAAAACTTTGAATAAAACTATTTATACGGATTTTATCGCGTTTAATTAAATTGTTTTTAATTCCCGACGTTTCGGGTTTCTTTTCAACACGGGTTTTTTACAGCACATGGTCACGGAGGGCAAAATGGTTGCTGTAAAGCACTCGAAACGTCGGGAATTAAAAATAAGTTAATTAAACACGATAAAATCCGTATAAACAGTTTTATTCAATGTGTAGTGTTCGCTTAAACATAAGAAATCTTTATGTCTTAAAACTGTTAAAGTTTTTATTTTAAAATATTTCTGATACAATTATTTCAGTTACTGATACAATACCCCTACAGTTTGTTTCATTACTATATAATAAAAGATATAGAGCAAGAATCTCGCATGAGTGCGATACTGAACGTGATTTGTTAATCGTAGTTCATTAAGAATCGATTACTTTCGAGTCATTGAGTGCGTACTTCGTTAAAACGCAATCGAATTTCGATTAACGCAACTGCGTAATAGCTAAGTGATTTAATTATACTTTTACCAGGTGCTAGAACTGCTTTTTTGCTAGAGTCTTACCTATTTCTGTCGCTGCTAATATTTCCCATCATAATTCCCGTTCTCAATTGTAGCTATCCTAAATAACCGTTATCCTCTTGTGTGTGTTTATATTTATATTTTTTTAACTTTATCTTTAAATTTATGTACACCTTCCCTATTTGCAATTCGCTGAAAACAACAGTTCTTTGCTAAACAAGGGTTGTCTGGAAGCAATTGCTTCCAGAGCGATATATATACAGGCTGTCACAGTAATGGTGGATAATCTGGTACGAGCGTGTATTGGCGGGAGGGGGGGAGGTGGCCTCGGTTCTATAAAGAAACGTTCTATCCCGAACGGTTCACGCTCTACGCCATGTTTTATAAAATTCCTAAAATTCGCATTTCTGCTCACATTTGTGGACATCACGTCCGCAATTTAATGCCTAGATCGGACTTTTCTTTTAATGTGTTCCATAATAATGATGTTTCTAAATTACGCTTAAAAGTTTTCAACTTCTATGGCTAGTATTTTACAAGACGTAAGAAGTAAAATTTTCAAGGGCGACACTGTATTTCCCTAAATGTATTTACATGCAATGTTAAAAAAACCATCTGCAAATAATTTTATAACTTTGTAATGAAATGCCTACTTTTACATATTAACGGCTATAGCACAGTAAGTAATGACATTAAGTACATAGTTTGTTACTGTTTTTAAATTCTCATGATATAGGCAAACTTTTTAAATGATTGGCCACACAGATCCCATACGTTTTTTTTTTCACCACAGGTGTTCAAATTTAACAGTTAAATAAAGTAAAAAATTAAAACGTATGTTTAGTGCCATCTTGTAAAATACCAACCAACAAATTAAAAGAAAAAATCCGATCTAGGCATTAAACTGCGGACGTGATTTTATAAAACATGGCGTAGAGCGCGAACCGTTCGAGATAGAATTTTATTTTATGGAATCGAAGCCACCTCTCTCTCGCCCGAACGCGCACGTACCAGATTATCTACCATTACTGGGATAGCCTGTATATATATATATATATATATATATATCATTTTGTCACGTTCTTATGTGTATTAGTATACAATAAAAAATATATTGATTGATTGATTGATTGTCGCTACATAGCAATGTTAGCATTGCTATGTTACGGTATGAGCACCCCGTATATACCCGTGGGTGTTGAGTTGTAAGACACGACATGAGAAAACTAGTCGGGAGAATAACATTAGCATCTTTTAGAGAACAGAACAGAACAATAAAAAAACTGCAGTTGCCTATCAGCTTGCTAAGCGTGGTAACAATGGAAAATGTCTCTCTAATGGGTATATGTATAGACTATGTTCAGCTGTGGACTTTTGATTGTAATGCACGAACGAATTAATGAATATAGAATATTAACGTGAATAGATGATATATCCTATATCTCCTTGAACCCTTGTGTCATGTGTATGGGTCGTATTTAGGTCGAGTCAAGCTTTGGAGTAAATATAACAAAATGATGTTCACTTGGTCTTAAGCATTAGAACAGCGTAAGGTGTCCGAAAAAGATTTCAAATTGCACGAGTTTGAGTTCAGTCACGGTTGAAATTGTTAAAAGTAATTTTAAATTTGCTGAAGGAAAATATCGGGGAAAAGCGGTCTCTCAATAATATGAAAGTTTGCCCAGCAATGGGGCATTAGTAGGCTTTCATTTAGTTAAAAGTTAAAGTTACAGCTTATATACGTCCCACTGCTGGGCACAGGCCTCCGCTCATTTCTGAGATGTTTTTCAAATTCGAGTTAAATCTTAACAATTTCATTAGTGCCGGCGGGTATCAAACCCGGATTACTTGCGTACTGTGCAATTGACAGCGAGCACTAACCATCTGAGCTACCACGGCTCTATCGCAAAAGGATTTTACTTAATTTATCATTATATATATATATTTGTTGCCGCATGACCTATCAATTAAATAATCGCTCACTACGCTACAAGTCCGAGGTTTGAGTCACAGCCTAGACTGACAATTTATGAGATAAAAAAAACATAAATGTATGATTTTTATCCCTAGAAAAACCTTAGCGTCACTTACACATTATGTAAATAATTAAATATTGACTAGGACCTACCGTATTTATCTCGTTGTCTGATCACGATTTAAAGAAAACGTTAGTTCAAAACTAATATATAAAATAATTTCTTTTGTCTAGGTGATATATAGATATAAAATAAAACAATAAAAACACTCAGACCCCGAAAAGTAATTAAAGAAATTTTTTTAGTCGTTGGCCAGGATATCATTGCCATACATTTATAATAAATATTAAACATTGTACATAGAAGTTTTAAAAAAAATCTTACTTAAAGTACAGGTAACACATGAGAATAGCGTCCAGAAAACAGCAAGCAACACTGACTCCCTCATGTTGGCAATTGATGGATTGCTGCAGGCCTTCACCACAAAAGTATAAAAACGCAATGTGGCCGCCGAGTGACTCCCTTCTTATTTATACCGACTGCGACGTATGTCCAAAGATAAGTGATTGCGGTAGAAATCAATTTATTTAATTACCGATTTTTTAACGTGGTAAGCTACGCTGCAGCTATATTATAATTGCAGCACAAATGGATCGCCTCGTTTGAGGGAGGACCACGCTGTCTCAATTTACCAGTGCAAATTAGCAGCTTAATGCTACTGTGTTTCGTATGGTGCGTGCAAAGAACTGGAAACCCTTTTTATTGGTAACGCGAAATTCTATCTTGGCCCTCAGGGGTGACAACGCATTTATATTTTGATTCTTATTTAAGGATAGATCTGCGCCTGTGGGTCTCAGCATCCCTTATTCTAAGGTATCATACTTGTAGTATGTATATAATTGCGTCTACCACAATATCTCATCACTCCGCGGGTTGACAACAGTAAATTTGAAATAAATCAAGAAATAAATAGGATATGTGTTTCACACGGTGGTGGCGTGGTGGTGGGTACGCGTTACATCCTAGTCCTTAGGGTTGACAATGTCAACTCATCTGCATTACGATTCTTCTGATTTTAGGTGTCTACCCATTACAGCCTATAAAATTCCACTGCTGAACATACGCCTCCCTCATCGATTGCCTCATGGGGGGATTTTGTCATAGTTGCCACGCTTGGCAAGTGGGTTGGCAACCGCAGTTTTTTGTTATTTTGAGTTGTTATCAGAAAGATGCCACTGTCCATCTCCTGTTTAATGTTCCCCTGTCGGCTCGAGGCGATATGAGGTAGTGGACATTCGTAGACCAGCAATACCTGGTTAGGTGTCGACGGGCTACTTGATTTCCACTGTCCAGAAGGTGGAATGCGAGCTCATTTGTCACCAGCAGCACTGAACTTTTAAGGAAAGGAAAAGAAGTAATCAAGTCAATTATTGTTTATTTTTTCTAAATTCCTTTTTTTTACAGTATAAGGGGAAAACGAACACACAGTCCACCTGATGGTAAGTGATTGTTGTGGCCCATAGACATCTACGTCTATCCTCGATTATGAATCAAAACGCGGAATTTTTATCACCCGTGAGGGCTAAGATAGTCATTTCGAGCAAAGAGAGTCTTCAGTTCTCTACACTCACCATACGAAACACAGCAGCATTAAGATGCTATTTTACGCTGGTATTCTGTGAGAGCGAGGTCCTTCCCCCCTCGAGGCGACCTATTCGTGCTACAACTGTACTACTAATATAGCTGCAGCATAGCTCTACTACGTAAATATTGCCACGTCATTTTATTCAAATTACTCCTTTAAATGACTGGTATAGAATGTCCGTAGGCATTAATAAGTGATTCGTTATTGAGCTGACTGCGTACTTGTACCAACGCCATCCTGAACACACTTGCAGATAGGTGGGATTCTGCCATTATGAATCACTGGTTAAGCGTACATGTAAAAGTAAATAAATAATGATTTCTTATATTTACGCGAACATTGCACATGATTAAAACTACTTTTACGGATTTTATCGCGTTTATTTTTACTTTTTATTTACTTTTATTTTTAATTCCCGACGTTTCGGGCGCTTTCCAGCACCCATGGTCACGGAGGACTGAGATGCTGACGTCCCGATGTCATTGTTAAACCCGGAGTACCTTCAGCTTTTTTAATTATTGTTTATGGTCCGATCTATGCAAAATGAACTGACTATGTCCTGAGGTCTTGCAGTGGTATGCTTGGGTTTAGTTTTAATTTTATTGATTATAGGATCCCAAGCAGGTGGTAGTACCCAGCCTCCTTCTCTATTGAAATTAGGATGTTTTTTAATTTCAATAGCCTCACGTATCATCCTTGGTAGGAATCGGTGTTCTTTCGCGAGGATTTGTGGTCTATCAAATCTGATGTAATGGTTGGGGCCGTCTAGGATATGATCACAAACTGCAGACTTCCCGGAACGTTGATGCTTCACATGTGAAGCATCAACGTTCGCCGGATCCGGTCACGCCGGAGTTAAAAAAAAATAAACGCGATAAAATCCGTAAAAGTAGTTTTAATCATGTAAATAAATAAGATAAATAATGTTCGCGGGATGTTTAATTTGTTGGGTTAAAAAAGTTAAATACTAACATCCGTTTATAAGAATATATTATTATTGTGTTTAACAAGGTTGGTAGAGCCACGCTGCACCTATATTATGGTTGTAGCACGAATGAGTCGGCTCGACCGGGGAAGGACCACGCTCTCACAGAATACCAGCGTAAAATAGCAGCTTCATGCTGCTGTGTTTCGTATGGTGTGTGTAGAGATCCGGAGACACTTTTTTACTGGAAACGAGGCATTCCATATTTATCCTCGGAGTGACAACGCTTCTGAATTTTGATTATTAATCGAGAATAGATGTAGATGTCTATGGACCACAGCATCCACTTGTTTAGAGTGTTGCTAATTTTATCCAAAGTTTGTTTGCTATCTTTTTTCTTAATTTACATATAATTACAATTGTTTTTGTCTATGTTAGGAGGAGGATTTTAGATATGGTTTTATAGGGCGCTATGTTATTCTCACGTTCCTTACACGAGATCCCTCACAAAGTAAATTGTTGGTTTAGTTGCCTATTGCTGTAAAACTTACTAAAGCATCGGGCACGTGTCTTTAATTCTAATTATTTTTTGCATTATTTTTACGTAGGTCATAAAATGTTTTGAATGGGACATTCAAATCATTCGTTCATAGGAATATAAATTACAAGTATTTTCATTGAGGAGTACAATGAAAACTACGGGTCAGCGAACTCTCACACTGGGCAGAATGGTAAACGAAAAATTAAGTAAAGAAACAAAAAGTAAAGAAATGACAAAAAATAAAAAAATGCTTTTTTTAATAATTTATTTTATAGGATTAGGGTGAGAAACGAGCACACAGTTCACGTGATGGTAAGTGGATGCTGTGGCCCATCGACATCATTTATCCTCGATTAAGTGCCAAACTACAGATGCGTTGCGAACCACGAGAACTCACCATACGAAACACAGCAGCATTAAGCTGCTATTTTGTGCTGATGTTCTGTGAGAGCGTGGTCGTACTAACCCAGTGGAACTATTTGTGCTAAAACTATAATAGCTGTATCATAGCTCTACCACGTACAAAAAAAATATAATAAATTTAAGAAGTACTAGGCTGCACTAAAAGTATCGGGAATGGAATATTTCCACTGTTCATATCATATTAAAATCTTTTTAATTGAAAACTCCTTGGTTTTAAAAATCGAATACCATTTATTTATTTAAAAAAAGATTCTCGGTCTTGTCACAAGGTTTTGTCAAACTTGTTTAGTCGTTGAGAAAATGGAATTGACTCGAGAAAATTCAAAAGCGATGATTTATTATGACTTTCGAAGTGGTTTAACACAAAAACAGTGTGTTGACTGGATTATTTCTGCATTTGGTGATGAAACCCCATCTAAAACCACAATTTATCGCTGGTTTGCTGAATTTCAACGTAGACTTGTCAAGCTCAGTGATGATCCCCGTCAATGTCGTCCAAAAACTGTCACCCAAGAAAACGTTGATGCTGTGCGTAAGCTGATTGAGGAAGATCGACATGTGACATACCGCGAAATTCAGGCAACTTTTGAAATTGGCATGAGTCAAATACAAATAATCTTGCATGAACAATTAGGTGTGAAAAATTGTTTTCCCGATGGATACCGCATTCGCTCTGTGAAGAGCAAAAAAGCGGCTCGCGTTACTTGGTGCGTCATAACACTCGAAAGATTCCACGCAGGATTCTCAAATGATGTATACAACATCGTATCAGGTGAAGAATCCTGGATATACGCGTACAAAACCGAAACAAAAAACCAGTCACGAGTTTGAGTGTTCGAAAATGAGTTAAAGCCAACAAAAATTGTTCATTCACGGAGTGTTGCAAAAAAAATGGTGGCCACGTTTGTCTCCAAAACCGACCATGTTATGACTATTCCTCTTGAGGGAAAAAGAACGGTTAATGCATAATGGTATGCTAGCATTTGTTTACCACAGGTCGTTTCTGAACTCCGTAAAGAGAACTGCAACCGCCGCATCATCCTCCATCACGACAATGCGAGTTCTCGCACCGCACACAGAGCAAAAAGAGTTTTTAGAGCAAGAAAACATAGAATTATTAGTCCATCACATCGCCGTACAGCCCCGACCTAAGCCCTAATGATTTCTATACTTTCCCTAAAATAAAGAATAAGTTGCGTGGACAGAGATTTCCATCACCTGAAGAAGCTGTGGACGCCTACAAAACGGCCATTTTGAGTCCTAAACTTCCGAATAGAATGGTTGCTTCAATGATTTCCATCGTATGGAAAAAATATGTCAAATTTCGCGGAGAATACTTCGAAAAGCAATAAATACATTTTTAAACAGTAATGTTGTGTCACTTCCTTGATCCCCGATATTTTCAGTGCCGCCCTCGTATAGTTAAAAAACTTAAACTAATTTATTACGAAAGGTATAAACCACTTTATTACAAAAAGTAGTTTATTTTTAGTCTCATGATAACTAGAGTCTATTTCAATTCATACTGAAACAGACATTAGTTAAAGTCCAAAAAATCGAATTAAATGTAAAGTATGGAATTTGACAGCAAATACTAAATCACTATTTAACTGAACTACAGTAATAACAATTTGTTAATTATTAGTTAATGTTTATAAACCTACGCAATACAGGCTGTGGTCATCTATAGCTATCATAAGATGTTACCTCATTTTAGAGTATGAGTCATTTTATGAATTTTGTTGATGAACTATTAAATTAAAAAAAAACAAGTCTAAGACGCATTGTCACAAGTTGATTTAAGAAAATATTCTAATTGATCAAAAAGTAAAAGTATATTGATAAGTAAAATATAAAAGTAGGTTTTACACAATATTAAAATTTTAGTTGGTTTTGAACTAAATATTAACCAGA